AAATTAAAGCAACACTGAGATTTCATCTCACCCCAGAGAGAATGGCTATCATCAAGAAGTCAACCAATAACAAATGCTGGCAAGGCTATGGGGAAAAAGGAACCCTTCTCCACTATTGGTGGGAGTATAGACTGGTGCAGCCCTTGTGGAAATCAGTCTGGAGTTTCCTCAGTAAACTAAGACTAGAGATCACATTCAACCAAGCTGTTTCCCTTTTGGGTATTTTTGCAGAAGAACTGCAAGCATCATATTATGGTGATATATGTGAACCCATGTTTATAGCTGCTCAGTTTGTAATAGCTAAATCGTGGAAGCAACCCAAATGTCCATCCACTGAGGAATGGATAAAAAAGACGTGGTATTTTTACATAATGAAATATTACTTAGCTGTAAAGAAAGATAAACTTGAGGCTTTCATAGGTAAATGTTCCATACTCAGAAGTGAAATAAATCAGACCTGCATGTGTAAATACCATATTGTCTCACTAGTATAGAAACCTGAAAGAGTAAATAAAATCTGAAAGGTATAATAGATATTGTGAAAGGGAAAGAAACTGTTCAAAGGGAGGGAATAACTGGGATGAGGGAAAAGAGTAAAAGAAAGAAGGGAAAAAATATGAATATATATATGTATGTATGCATATATGTATACACACACACACACACACACACACACACGGTAACTGAGAGAGTCATACTACCGACTTCTGTTGCTTTATTGAAAGGAACAGGTAATGTTTAATTTTTGATCAACCTTAAATGCCTATATTTGTTTAACTGAGTAACCAATTTGAAGGTAACAGTATGTACAATATATAATACAATATACAATATCTATTATTAATTTTCTATCACCGTGTCTGAAACTCAGTATTGCTTCTATTGTTTGGGTGTTGTTTATGTCTGTTTGTTTGTTAATGTGTTTTTTTCTTTATCTTTAAAAATAAAAAAAATTTAAAAAATAAAAATAAACTCATATTGAGAGTTGCTGAAGGAAAGGAGTAAGAGAACATGGCAGAGAGTTTTTTAAGATGGGGAGCAGTCGGTATGACATAAAAGGGCAGCTGGAGGGATCCTTTCAGTGATGGGAATGTTGTCCACCTTGGCTTTCTTACCATTAGTATCATGGTGGTTTTACAAGTTGCTGCCTGTTACGGTTTGTGTCTGCATGTCCCCCTAAAGCCTCATTCAGGCATGGGGCGGGATTCTAGAGTTTATGATTGATTCATGGTCCAGTGTTGGGATTATAAATGTGAGTGCAACACCTGCCCTGTGGCGGGTAGTTTGCATACAATGTAAGAGAGGAAAAGAGGCTGCTTGCCACTCCTCCCTTTTGCTCTTGCTGCATTTGCTATCTTCCGCTGTCATGAACTGTTGCCCTCTGCCATGTATCACCCTGCCTTGGAGCCAGCCAAGCATGGACTGAAACCTCCACAAACTGTGAGCTAAATAAACCTTTCCTACCTTAATTCTGGGCATCAGGTATTTTTCTTAGCAACGAGAGAAAAGAAAGCAAGACACTGCCATTGGAGACAACTACACAGGGCACATAGAATCTTCTTATTTCTTATAACTGCATATGAATCTAGAATGCCTCAAAATTAACAAATAAATCTTTTTAAAATCTTTTTTAAAAGACAGTAATTGATACCACAACTAAAATAAAATCTATGAGAAAAACTTCCCTTTATCCCTCTTCTACTCTGTGAAGAATTCATTGTTTGCATATTTTCATATCCAGGGCCAGAAAAACTTGAACTCAAGAGTGATTCCATCATTTTTTAATTCTGATTAAAAAATTGTAGATACAATTAAATTTGGCTCTGTACAGAGAGATTTTGTGTATTATTTGAAAAAAACTGAAATAATGTCAGTGTTATCTGAGCGTTCTTACCTTACTCTTGTCCCCAAAACAAAACTGGTGGCTCAGTTAATAAATATATGTGACTGTATTTTACTCGAGGGTGTGCTTAGCAACTGGCTTTCTTGTTTCTCTCACAGAGTATCGAGATGAGACTGAAGGTCACTCTTCATGAGGACTTAGGGGCAGCACTCATGGATGGCGTGGTCCTCTGCCACCTGGTCAACCACATCCGCCCGCGGTCTGTTGCAAGCATCCATGTGCCCTCCCCGGCAGTTGTAAGTAACACTATCTAAAGGGAAACTAACTCTGAATGAGACAGACTCTTAGTGTGGTTGGTTAAGAATGCCAGTGTAACTTGGCCCCCGCTCCAGTCCCTTCTTTATGGACCCACATAAAGAAGAACAGAATGGCTCTGAATGAAGCAACATTTTCACTAATAAGGGAGAATATTAAAGTAAATGTGTAAATTGTAGAAATTAGCTTTATTTCAGATATCAAGTTTAAAGAAATGACTGAAATTACTGCTAACTTTAGGAACATAAAGTTAGAACATCTAGGAACATAAAAGTCCATTTCTCACACAAGGTTATTCAAACAGTGAGAAGTCTTTACAGAAAGCTCCTTTTGGTTGATACTGCCCTTCAACGTGGGCTCTCTTTCCTTTTTTATCATTGGGGATTTTAGGATAGTCCTGTAAACATGTGCAGTCTCTGAAAAATATGATTGGCATGTCAAGGCAGAGGTCAATCAGCCAGTCACTAACTGTGTTCGGGGACACGTTGAAGATGGTGGGCAGAATAGGACTCTATTGATACTGCCTAAACTCTCATCCTCCCTGTAGGGGCAGTCAGATCCCCTGTGGGGTCCTGGTACTAGATGCCACAGGGTATGGCTCAGGCCAGAGAGCGCTCCGGAGTCCATTCTCTGGTTGTTTGGGTCAGAAGGAAGGAGCTAGGGAGAAGTTTGTCTTTAAAGCCTATATAGAGACAGAAAAGCAGTCTCTCCTCAGTTTTTTGCTGTGTGTTGGGAAAAGCAGAAGAGATTAAGGGCTAAGAACAAAAAGTTTGGATTAAAATTCTGGGTCTACTTCTAAATGCCATATGACTTTGGGGCAAATTATACATCCTGTCTTTAACTCAATTTGTTCTTCTCTGTAATGGACATGTTCTTAAGAGGAGGGTATTCACATAAGTATGAAGCATTCATGTCATTATTGTTTATATAGAGCACATTTTCAAAATTCAGAACCTCTGATCTCAAGGAACTGTGCAGAGTTCATGAAGTGCTGCACTGTTATCTGAATGTTAAGCAAAAGCTGCTGAGGCACTCTCTTCTCTGCCTGTCTTCCCAGGAAAGCCTCATTATGGTATTATTTATCTCATTTTGTTTTCCCTTGGAAGTAGATATACTATCCTATGACCCCATTTCAACAGTTTCCTTTGTATAGTGTTGTTTTTCCTTTTAAAAGCTTGACTTTTTTTGGCTCAGAAAACATACAGCAAAAAAAGACCACTTTGGCACCTCTTTCAAATCTGCCTCTAGCAGCCTTAATGTGGGATAGTAAATTCCACCCTGTAATCCAATATGAAATTTTCCAGAACCTACTGCAAATGGAGTTCAAACTGCCATAAAATTGTCTGAGCTGCATGTGAAATTCTCATTTAATTATTTGTCCCAAATTCTGTGAGAGATTCTATGGCCTCCTCAGCCTCCTGCTGGAAGGTATAACTATGATTTCACAAGAACTATCATTTTACAAGGTGCTAGAGGACACTACCAGTCATGAACCTATATGCTTTGTATATTTTATTAATTTTTCAGGAAAAATGCTAAATTAGTTTAGAAATCGTTTGTTTTTTTCTCTTTGAAATTTTTTGTAAATTGAAAAAATAATGAGAAATAATACCTAGTTGGGGAAAAAGAGAAAAGAGAGTAAAACAAAAGAAAAATAAGTTGCCCTTTATCTTGCTTTCAAAGACAATTACTCTTAACCTTTTATTTTCTTTACTATTAACATTTTCTGTATATTTAAATTGGAGCCTGTAATAGATACCATTTAGTCGTAGTATTTAAAAGTTATTATTAAAGCCTAAGTATTTCCCCATCATAAAAATTATTTCTAAATATCTGTTTTAATAACTGTAACGTACTTTATACTATTGTAGTTTTCCTCTTTAGAAGTGCAGTTTGTTTCTAAGTGTCCCCTTACCAAAAATTATTCATCCTGAAGCTATTTTTGACAGCCCAGCCGTGCTATGGCCTCAGAACCTGCATCCTGTCACTGGTCTGTGCCAGTATCTCTTGACTGCAGTCAGGCACAGGCCACTCTCTGCCTGGAAAGCTGCTCCTCATTTGCCCCCCACATCTTGGCCCTTTGGCATCACTAACGCCCAATTTCCTCCCCTCAATTTTTTCAAGTGGCAAACCATCCTTGACTCCTTAGCACTGGGTCTTTTGGGGCTTGTATTTTCCATTATAGCAACCCCATCACAACTAAGAACTATTCTATGTTTTATTACAGTTTCTTTTAACTTGTTAATATTGCCAACCGTGCTAAAGCTAAGTGATAGAAGAATTGTGTCTTTTGATTTAGCACCAAGAACACTGTCTGACACATAGTAAACAATAAATAAATTGTGTTTGTATCATCAGCAGTAGGTGAGAGTGCCTTTCCTACTGGTGTTATTGCCAGCATTACACATTCTAATTTTATATTCCTGAAAGTAATGTCCATTTTTTTTTTATCCCTAGCTGAGAGAATACAGTGGTGAAGAGTCGGTGTTTTTGCCCATATGTTAAGAGGCTGTTCCTTAGAAAACTGAGTTTCTTTTTTTTTTTTTTTTGTCAGACATAGCTTGTTAATTTTTTTCACTGATCCAATAACTAAAACACTTCAAAAGAGTAGATGGGGCCAGTTTTGCTTTATCCTGGTACCTGCAGGCCCATGAAGATCATCCAGATGTGCGGAAAGAAAAGTGCTTCTGAACAGTTTCTTGTGCTTTTCCTTTAAATTCCACTTCCAATAATACATAGCTTCAGCCAAGTTTTCAAGTCCTACTTCTGTTCTTGAGTTGCTTTTGTTTGCCATAGTCTCCTGGTTCTCAGCAAAGCTTTGCTGAGAAAAATGAGTTTCTTCAGTTTTTGAGAATTTGATAAGCAAAACATTGGCATCTCAATTGGTATAATTTTTATTCTTTGAGCAGTGTTGAGAATTCTTTAACTAATATTTGACAATTAAATATTGTGGTTGTTTCAAATACTTTTCTACTTAAACCTAGGCAATAGTCTTAGACTAGGTCCTCCCTCAATCCCAGAGATGGAAATCATTGGTCTGTAGATTGAAACACACCATCCATTACGTGCCCTGGGCTGACCCTAAGTATTTGGAATAATGGGAAGCATCACTGGAGTTTCACAACAGACCTTCCGAAACTATAAGTAATTGACAGAAGATAGTGGGCCCAAAGGATCAGAGACAAAAGCTGAGATTTGCATGTAACAAAATGCCTCTTGATGCCATCTGCCTTATCTAGAACCTGCTCTTCTGTTATTCCCATGTCCCGTCCTCTGGTCCCTTCTTCCTGTTTGCACAGGGCATCCTAGAGGCATCCTATCCCTGCTATCCCATTACATGCTAGGGGTATGGGCGGAACCACCCAGGCAGCTGCTTGCCTCGTCTGTATGCAGCTCAGGAGGAGGGGCACAACTTTGCCTCTAGTCAAGATAAGAGAATATTTGCTTAGCCTCCAAACTGAGTTGTTCCACATGGCGACAGGCTTCTTTTCTTTTGTATGGGGGAGGCATCTTAAATAAATAAATGCTGTGAAGATTGAGATTTTAATGTTGATGGGTTTATGCCCGTGTAAGATAAAATTAGAGTCATTTCATTCTCGCTATTAACAGGATAAAATCAGTCTTTACAAAACAGCCTCTGTGCTAGACTGTTGGAATTCATCCTGATTCTTTCTTTCCTTTGTAAGGAAACTAAGCAGAGAATGTTAATATTTATCAGGAAGGTGTTTCAAGTTTTTCCCTGTGTTCTCATTTAATAATACATTATTTCTGTATATTTGCATTTACAGCCCAAACTTAGCATGGCTAAATGCAGAAGAAATGTGGAAAACTTTTTAGAAGCATGCCGAAAACTAGGAGTACCAGAGGTAACATCAAACTTAGTTCAAATAACCATACTTTAGTAAAAATTGTATCTGTGTGTTTCAATCAGTGAATAGCTATAACTCTTGTACATGTGTTTTCAGTCTCATCCTTTCTCAGAGACTAATCTTGAACAGATGGTATAAAATTTAAATTTAAATTGTTCTATTGTAGTGAAATTAAAATAACTACACATTGCGTTTATTTCTAAGAACAGAGGGGAAATAATTTCTTTAAGGTTTTGAAGTAATTCTGAAATTCCACACTTGCAAACAATTTAATCAGCTAGATTAATTAGACTCGGTAGCTTCTTTAAAAGCAGAAAGTGATGAGTCTGTGAGAGTGAGTTCCACAGAGCAGCATTTTGGAGCTAATGTATTCCTTATTCAAAACTCTTAATCAAAGACCTGTAGTTGCCTCCTGATTATTAATTTTCATTCATTACAGTTGCATTTCGAGTATGTGAATCAAACTAACCAACACTGGGTACTAAAATTATTATTATCACTAATAATGATGTTTATATGTTGCTTCACAGTTTGTTTATTTTTATATTTTCTGTTGTAGTCAGCTGTCAGCTACTGGCAGTCATCTGTAGCTAGCCCAACTCTGTATCCTCTTACTCTTTCCCTCGCCCAAGCTCAGCCCCAGCCTTGCCTTCAGGCACATGGTTGATTCAAGGACTTTTAAAGACTTTACTTTTAGTAACATAAAATAATTTTTCAGGAGCACATGAGGCATTTTGTTCAGAATTTGGAGGTACTATATAAGTTGAGAAGTTTCTCATCACTGTGATAAACAGAAGTGGGTAGAAATTATGACTTTGTAACTTTCCTAGTGCCCCCCGGGAAAAAGTAACTTAATCTAACTTAATCTATCATGAAATAACTCTTTTTGAGTATGTGAATATAATTTTACTTAACTGTAGGAGCTATTAAAGTGAAAAATGCTTTTCCTCCCCTCAGCATTTCTCTTCTTTCTTCTCAACTTTTTTCTTAGCTTCTTGGACTTTAGACATGGGTGGGTTAGGGACAGGATTCTAATGTTGTTTGAGGAAAAGAAGAACATTTTTAAAGCATCTTTATGTCAGAGCTGGGTCAATAAATTCATCTTTTAAAAGAGCATAGTTTCTATGTGATAGACTAAATGTCTGTGATCAATTCCTCTTTCAGCAATGTTAATCTGTGTGTGTGGATTGTCTGTGCACACTTTAGTATTGTATATACATTCTTGGTTTCAAATGTTTGTGAAAATACTTATCTTTTCTAATGACTTATTTCTGTCAAAATAAGTAATTTTTAATATGTGAATTTGTCACAAATTAATTTGAAATTTTTCATATGTGAATCCAAAGTCTCATGCCAGGTTTTGGATGATAAATTATTCTTGTCTGTGCTAGAAAGCATTGATAAATTGTGATTTAAGCCTGTGATTATTTTAAACTCATCAATGTTTTTTGGCTTATAGTGATACAAAATGAGATTTACTATGAGTAAAAGTTGGTAAATGCAATTTCCTTTTTAAGTTAAGAGAAAGAAAATTAAATTTTATATAATTTCTGAATTATGCCAGCATAGCGTCTCTCACAGTTATAGGTAACTAATAATTCCCAAGAAGGTTGAAATAGAGGAAGCAGATTACCTTTTTTGCCAGTGTCCCAGTTAACTAGTAAGAAGTATGTCATATGTCACTTAGGATATTTTTGCAGTTATTTTTAAGGTTTTAAGTGATTTTTCAAGTCTTCAGTTGTGTGTTTGTATTTGTATGTGTGTGTAATTTCCATCATGACGGACAGTGCAGCAGCAGTTTACGGGTGTCTAGAGTTAATTTAAGGACAGTGCTACTAGAAAAAGTCTGAGTACTTGAAATTCTCGAGTGAGAATGTTAATGTAAAAAGAAATATTCTCATGGGAAACCATAAGTTCTCATTTGGAAAGCAATTGGTAAATCTCTCTGTATATTCCAACCAACATGTTTTCATCTCAGAGTATGCATGTGGAAATATTTCCATCGAAAATATGATGCAGAATTGTGGGATTGGATGACCTCTTTGATCTTAGATATGTATACGCCTTTCACTAAAGAGGGTCAGTGTTGCAGTGTACATGTGGCCTGGTACAACTGATGATTTACACTAGAAAAGATAATTGCATCACAAGAGTACTTGCTGAGATTCTCCATCTGCAATTAGACACTTTAAAAGTCTGGTACTAAAAATACAAAGGATTTATATCATTATTTTTCATATTCCATCAGACTTAATTATTTAGGTCATATGTATTGATTTCCCAGTAATCAGCATTGTCTTTAATTTACAGGCTTTCTCTGCTTTCTTCTCTGTCCATAACTTATCTATACTTATACACAATCCATAAATATCTTGAGTTTTGTATTTTTTAAGCTAAACATTTAGTTTACATCGTCCTGTAGTAGAATCATCATTTGAAACTGCAAAATAAGTCAGGGTAAGCAGTGTACTGAAGGCACATATGGGTGAAATACAGCAACTGAGCAGATTTAGCTAACTGATTACATGTAAAGTCTTGTGGTAGTATGGAAGCAATTTTAAAATTGTTCTGATTATTATAGTTTATTATATTTTCTTTAGAAGTCCCCATGAACATAATCCCAGATATTTTCCCCAGGGTTGGCCAAGGTTCATGAAACATTTATGTGTGATTCAGCGCTAGAACCACAGAATCACAGACTGTGGTTTGTTGAACGTTCAGGAACTGTGTCTGTGCAGGATGTGGCAGGATTGTACAAAAGTTCACTGAATAAATGAAGGGTTGAGGGTTGTGGGTGAGACTGTCCTTCAGTGGAATGTTAAACCCCCTTTTTATAGGCAGGTAGGAAAGAATGGTTTTAGAGTGGCTTCCCTGTAAGTGTGGTTTCTTCAGTGGGCTGCATTCAGAACTGTAGGCACCGTCTACACCCTCTGTGGTGTTGATGCTAGGTATTCAGATTGTGCAGCTGACTGGCTTCTGTGGTTGCTTCCTCATGGTCTCAGACATGGGCTTCTGAATCCTTAGTGGGCTTCTGCCTTCAGGACAGCTTCTTTGTCACCTGAAAATTTGAGTCTAGTTAGGCCTTGGGGTTTTTGTTGCCATTTATGGCCACAGAAAATAGGTATTTATTTGGTTTACCAGGGAAATTTTTCTACTCAATTTTAAATAAGCAGCCTTAGTCTCAGAACTCTTTAAGCATCTAGTACCTAGTTAACAGACTTGCCTTCTTTGTGGGAGGAGGGACTCAAAGTAGAACTGTGGTTTGTTTCTAGCTTCCCAGCCCTTCATCTCCAGAAAAAGAGCAGATTAGGGGCAGGGAGTGGTAGTGAGTAGCAGACAGTCAGTGGCCACTTGCTGCCATCTGGGTGGCCCAGTGTCCTTTCAGGACTGGTAGTATGTTTATTCACTTAAGCATCCTTTCCCATTTGAATGTCTATTGGTCACCTCCGGTGACAGCCTTTCATATGTGCATAGTTAAGAATAAATCATTTTAGAAGCAGAATCCCCAAAAAATTACTAATATTGGAGTTATGCTGTAAGTCCATAAAGTAGGCAATCCATTGTCATCTATTTGAAAAGAGCCTTCCAGAACCAGCTCACTAAGGTACCACCCTATTGACTTTTAAAATTATAATTACATTTAAATAAATTAAATATATTCCAACTTTCCAAATGAGATTCCTGCCTTGATAGGGTTTGCTCTTAGAACTTAGATGATATAGTACCCAGAACTTCTATAAAAACTAGACCTGTTATCAGATCTGACTGCATTTCTGTTTGTGTTTATAATATTTGGGGAAACTGAGCCATTCTTTAATAATAATCTCAGCTGCACTGGTAATAGCAATAGCTATCTCAGTGTATACTCTCAGCAAATCACTAACCTCTGCAAGTTGTGGTTTGGTTCTTTATAATGGGAGTCAGCGTCCTCCTTTGCCTTTGAAGGTTCTGAGTGATTAACTGTTTTCCAAATGCCCCTAGTAATTATAAATGCTCTACAAATGCATGATGACATTTTGCCTCTTCACATCTTTCTTTTTAAGTATTTTCCAGTTTTAATTTTCAGAAATAAAAAAAGTATATTCTTGAAATCCTTCTCATTCAGGCTAAGTTTTAGAAAGCACAAGACCAGAAAATCCTGTTTCCCTAGGAGTTTCCTCAGTTTGCATCATAGTGTTATTGAGAGGGCTGGAGAAGATGGCCTTTGGCCCAGTGATACAGGTTGAATTAGCAAGTGGGTCTCATGTGGCCATAACAGCCCACTTCTTTACATTAATTATAGTGGTTCACTTTTTTGCCTGCCAACCAGGCTAAGACCCTTTTGTTTCCCTTTGGAGACTATAATTTAATGTAAATCACCACAAGCTGTGACTGTATGTCTTAACCACTGTAATTAAGCCCAACTTCTGTGACAGCATGAAACTATTTCCTGGATGAGAAGAATGGTCTGTGTTGTCCGCTCCCTGAGCAGTATACTCGTGAATAAGTATCTTGAAAACTGCAAAGATGGTTTGATGCCCCTGCTGGGGAACAGACCAAACATGCTCCATAGGGCTCTGGGAAATGTATTGAAATACTTGCTGGATATAGAATGGTTTGCTTTTGACATGGAAATACTATTTTTGTGAAAATTGTGTGTTTATTAAGCCTTTTGTCTCCTGTCTGCTTTGCTCAGATTTCACTGGCTATGTACAACACTGCAATAAAAACTTCTTACTGCAATGGCAAACTTTTCTTAGTTGTTTTCCCATCTGTTAATTCTTGACCAACATCTGTCTTCCAGTGAAATCCAGTTTATGTGTGGCCATATTAATTCTTGGGAGAACTATGACTAGTAAAAGCTTGATTGTTCCAGATCCACTGAGAAAACATGCAAGATCTGAATAGATATAACATGACTCACTAATCCTAAAAAGTCTTTTGTTAAGAGGATCTCAACCTTCATAAGTAAAATTGAATATTTTAAATCTTCTTCAACTCATCTGATATTATACTAT